CAACAACAACAAGAGATCATGCCAAACCCTGTTGGCATGATGACCTTGACGGAACAACAACATTCTGCTGTTCGCTATCACGAAGTGGCCCCCATGGCCTAAACTTTTGTGCTGTTATCATTGCCAGTATTATTATTATTATTTTTATTATTGCACACACTACTATATAGAACATATATCATATACAACAACTACCCTACTACTACCACTACCACTTTGCAATACTTCAACAATGATACTACACAATATTGCACTTGACACCTTTTGCTTCAACCAATTGACCAATCAAACATTGGAGTTTTACGTATATTTGATTGATCGATTGATCGATTGATTGAATCGCAAAACCGCGGTATCTTTCTTCTTCCCGTTTTCTTCCGGAAATTTCACACCGGAGGAAACTGCGTTTTGCAAAAAAAGCTCGGGACATCTATTGTAGAGAGAACCCCGCAATCTCCGCATGCAATGCGATCCCTACTGTTGATCGATTGGACAAGGACAGTGCTGAGGCGTGACGATGATGATTGATTCTTCATTCGTTCTTCGCTGCCGTATCTCTGATCATTTTTTCACACAGTTCGCACTACTTTTCTTCAAGGATTTTTCAATGGTGCACGACTATACGTGTTCCGGTACGGTATATAATATGTACCGACGTATCTCTTTTATTTTTATCATTGTTTCATGCAGTTTTTTCCTTCAATCAAGTATTTTTCAATGGCGATTGACTTGTCCGACTAAACTATCAGAACCCGAACACCCATCATCAACTTTTCGAAGCAACACAATAAAATATATTATAAAATACAGGAAATTGAAAATCACAAGACGCAGTAATCTATATATTGTTGACCATACGTTCACACAATGACAAGCAATACGTACAATGAAAGCAGCAGCAGCAACAACACCAACACCAACACCACCAACAACAACAACAACAAAACCCCCGTATTAGACTTGGGAGAGATTGGCGTTGGATTGATGCAATGGGGAACCACAAAGATTGATGAACGAGTGGTCAATCCCAAGGGAAATTTGAGTGACGACACGGTACAAGAACT